TATTAACACACATACAACATCATAAACAAACCCCGTTGACGTTTTTGCAGAATTCTTTGCCTTTCAATTAATCCTGCAGCCATGATGGCACGTGACCACTGGTTGTAAACCTTGACATTTGTATATGTTATTGGCCAGCTAAGCTGCATCAGGAAGCATTTCCAACAAGCTGCAGATATTCATCAACAACTGCCACCTACGCTCAGTCGTTACTGAAGCTCAGATGGCCGAAAAGAATAAGCAACAAGGAACTCATTCTGGCCAAGTAACGAACCAACCGAGAACCCATCACCCAACAAGTATGTAGGAGGAAGTGGAGATAGATTGGGCACACAGTCAGAAGGCCGATTGGGGACATCACGCGATAGGCCAGATGCTTGAGTGGAACCCGGATAGGAAACGGCGAGTTGGGTGTCGGAGGTGAGGGTGACATGGAGGAGATCGTGCGAGGAAGAAATGAAAGCCTCAGAATCACAACTGTACAATGCCTCACCCACACTGCAATCCAACCCCATACAGAAACCACTTTAAGAGAATGACTAATCCAGAATGGTGAAATTTTTAATACATTCAACACAATGCACGCAGAAATTTGGATCGTTTAACGTGAACACAAAATCTGAATACAGGTCTACGGTATATTACAGTCCAATAAGCCTACCCACTTGTCTACCGTAGTTCTGGTTAGCCCGGTCGGCGGATATCATGGTGGCTTGCTTGAACCTTGGGCTACCAAGTTTATCCGTCGAACGTTTTTCATCGTATTCTTCCTTTCCAATTTGTTTTAATCATTCAAATACATCCTTCAAATGTAGCATGTACTCTTAGATATTTGTAAACTGTTTTCAACTCTCTCTTTCTCGATTCATTAGCGAGGCAGAGAAAATATGTCACGTTATATGGAAATGGACTTTTGGAGCAATAACACACATAATATTTCTATCCGTCAGATGCTTAGCTTGAGTTGCGGATATCCGTACCATCTGAATGAACCGCCATTGCCAAAATTACACTTGGATTTCTGTTGATTCTTCATCATGAACTGGACTCCCGTCCAGAGCCAGCTGCCATTTCACATTATTGCCTTGAATACTGTTAGTGTTAACATCCTTCAGATTCAGTAACCTTTTCGTCTGGAAGTATTGGTTCTGAGAATGAGTTTGTTGAAAAATTACATGCTGAGAATTCCATGCTGTCATACATATTGTTTGGAATAAACCGATTATTATTATTATCATTGTTATTATGGTTGTAGGGGTTGTATGATATTTTAAAGGACTTTAGTACAGATACGTTTCTCAAGTGTCCAATATCTAGTATCTGTTTAAGGAGCTTGTGCAAACCAGTTGATTTCGTCTTGATCGCTTCTCTGTCTTGTGGAACGGTCCTAGGTCTTTGGCGGGTTCCGGTACAATAGATTCAGCCACTCATCTGCTATGGCTCTAATATACAGAAGAGAAGGTCCCTGATGGCGAAGGATTTGGGCGTGTTGGTCCCCCAAGGCTTAAAATCCCATGCCAACTGTGACAGAAACGCACCTCGTGGGAACTTGGCATTAGTAGCTCTTAGACGAATTTTCGGACAATTCGATCGCAGATGCTTCCACCAAATTTTCAACGGCTTCATATGGCCTCACCCGAAGTTCGGAACCATCGTCTTCCCGCTTATCTCCAGAGGGACAAACTAGGCTTAGAACGCACCCAGAGGAGTTTGACAAAATCTGTTAAAGGACTTAGGTCCAAAACATACGATGAACGGTTGATTGCTCTGGATCTGTATCCTCCGGAATACAGAGGGCTAAGAGGGGACTTGATAATGACTTGCAGCATTCTGAGCATGCCTGGCCACCCACTCCGTCACTTAATAAATCTTAGCTGAAACGCCAATCTTAGAGGATATGCACGGAAACTAAGCCTGGAACATAGAAGGCTGGATGCCAGGCACAACTTCCATTCCCTAAGAGCTATTAAACCCTGGAACGCTCTTCCTGAAGATGTGATCCAGGGAAATTCGTCTAAATCTTCTAAACGCCGGCTGGATACCCACCTGCTGTGTGTCTGGGATCTGCCCAGAACCAAGTGAATTTTCACGTTTTAATCGCCACTTTTTCACCTTTCATGTACAACAGGTTAACAACCACAATGAGTAGTGATCCACGGATTGTAGACGCGGAAGCCAGTTAGGCGAAAGCCCCTTCTATTCCGTCACCAACCGTTTGAACCATTTGAAGTGTTGGTTAGTTTTCCTTGGACTATGGTGAGGTTGGGCTCTTGAGATGTCCAGTTGCCAGACAGGTGTTTGGACAGGTCTTTAGAGAGAGAGAGGGATAGAGAGGAGAAAACCTAGAAAGAAAAATTTATGTGAGTAAAAGACAGATAAAAGCGAACTAATGGAGTAATCTTCTTACAACCAGGTAAGGCGAGGAGGGGCGCAAAGATACGAAGAACTCGTGTAGGTGAAGTTAGTTCATGGCAAGTGAAAGGGATGAAAAAGGCTTAAATGATTAGAGTAGAAAGAAAACTGGTGTAGAGGTAACATAGATGGGGTGGCGTGACAGCAGTTGATATCTTCTGTTTATTTCGTGCCACCAGACAGTAGTTCAGGTTGATTGTAGGAAGAAGGTAATAATAACAATGGTGTTTATTCTTCAGTTTACAGCGGAATATCAATTTCACAGATATGGTTATTACATTCAGTAGAGAAAATCTTTACTGATTTTGTTGTTCATCTAATATCCTAGCAGTCCCTAGGCTGAAAGAAAGATTTCACTTCAAATATAAATAACTCACACTGAATGCTTTAGTTTCCGTGTTCATCCATAGGTAAAAACGGTTCTGGTAGAAATCTAAATGGCAACCATTTTAATGAATTTGTAAAAGCGTCGCTCAGAGAAGGAAGAATAACAATTTAGCCAGTTCCTTCCTGAAGAGGCACTTCTGGCTTAATGATTCGAGTGTTTTCATCAGAAAGATCATGAATATAGAGGGAAGTACCGCCGCAGACTCAATGTATTATCAAAAAGATATGCATATTCGCGTTCATTAAAGCGCGACTACATATTGTATGTAATTTCGACTGAGATAGCCATAATCTGGCAGACTTGTGTTGATTCTGGGTCTGTGTCAAATAGTAAAGAGGATCTAGACACATTCTGGGCGCCCTGACAGTGCGGTTCCAGTGGCTTAACTCACTGATCCATCTTGTTCCTTGTGCTTCCTGTCTCTCCTGGATAGATGCACACCGTCTATACTAGGTTCATTGTCACTAATACTCTGTGATAACTGAGTTTCTATCAGGATTATAATCTCCGTAGCAAGGTAGGAACAGAGGGATCATAGTACCGCCCCCCCCCCCAATTCGCGTCAAATTGCTGTAACGGCACTTGGAGGTGCCTCTGCCAACATGGGATGTCTTAGTGGGGGTGGACTGTACAGAGTCGTTCACAATGATGAAAGCTGTTACTGCCCGGCCAGTTTCAACAGGACACGTTCACCCAGGCGTATTCCTACAGTGGTTTCTGGAGATGCCCAGTCAGGGTCAGTTTGAACATCGTGCCAATTAAACGATAATTGTGATCTCAGCATGAAGAGTGGCTACCGTTTACTGTTATCACAGTGTTCTGGGCCTGTTTTCGCAACGGCAATCGCCCCCTCCGATATTGTCTTTACGTGTGTACCAAGTTTCCAGTATCTTGGCTAGGAGCTTTTTGCGTCCGAGGTTAATAGCCATCAACCCGGAAGATGCCGTCAATGTCAGATGAGGGGGCCGTGGGAGCGTGCTGACCACTGCCGCCACTATATAATTTAGTCCTATCGTTACTGACAACCACTGCTATTGTTGAATAGCATTAGCATACTTCTCTATTAATGTGCCGTCTGTCAGCATCGGTATTCTGCGGATAATCACATCTTTTGGTTTCAGAGTGTGGGGTGCACCTTGAGATGTTTCTTTTGCTGACAACGGTGTATCTGGCCTAACCATGATGCCGGATGGCCGATCGATGACAAGTGTGTTTGGAAGCAACAGGAATCGTTCAGCCCTCGTAGCCGGGCTCAGGGTCACCCTTGTCCTCAAAGGCTTTCCTGGAAGTGAATGGTTGTCCATGTAGACCCGACATGGTTGAGCATATGGTCTCCCATTTCTGCTTGTCGAAGAAGTCCGTTTTCTCAAGGAAACTGTCGTGACATGCAGGAACATCAAATAGGATGATTCATTTCGACCCATAATCGATATCCCTTCAATCGTGTACTGTGGGTGAATTTTTATGGGAAAAGATGCGCCTTCCTTCCCACTGGAACTCATTTTTCGCGTTGTGCAGCAGGGGTGGCCGTTATGGTAACTCGAAGGCTTTAAGCCGATGTCGTCGTTTACCCATTCTTGACCGCCCGTGAAAATTCACGTACATACCTGGCTTTTAGACTCTCAGTCCCGGTAATGGTTTGTGCGGGCGCCGGTTTTTAAGTAGCCACTAGGGCTGTCTCTTACATCCACCTTAAGCAGGCATGAAGATAGGAGTGACTTCATGCTGTGCTTTGAGCAGGTTTACCAGAAGCATGTATATAGGTGACGCGCTATGAAGGGATAATATTGGCATAGTGCGTCCTAATCACCTAGACAGTGCACTCGCCTGTTACAAGTGTTGTACTGAAAAGTTGCGTCTACTTTAGCTACAGTGGAACGAGATGATTGACACACGTCACCTTCGCTTTCTTCTCGTTCCCCACTGTCTCCATTTAGCAGCTTCTAAGATCAGGTCATGGTTTGGGTTAGGTGTGCCACTAAGACATGCTCTTTGCTGAACGACAGTAGACATGTTTTGAGAGTTGCGCGGGACAAAGGTTCCACTTCTTCAGGGAGTTAGTATTCCTAAATGTTCTCCTCAGGTTGACCCTTGACTCTTTGAGGCGGTTTTACACCCCTCACCTCGCCCTAGTTACCAATGAGATAGGGATGGTTATTAAATGGGGTGAGGCTTCATTGGAGGTGTTTTTAGGACTCACTTTAGCTAAAACACGCATGCCGATAAGCAGACAGAAGAGAAACTGTAATAAAAATACTTAAGCCAGGTAAGAAGTAAAGAAACTACGTTGGTTTAAGCAACCCAAAGTAAGTTATCAACCTTACCTCTGACTGTCTAGTTGTAAGACAGATAAGAATGCCAGAAGTTTCCCACAAGTAAAAAGTGTATAGCAAGGCTAGATCAGCAGCGCTACAGATACACTGACCCCAGCTACAGTAGTTAATCCATACAACTAGACTTATTATACAGTTGTCTTTTCTGACAGCAGTTTATTATTTTTGTCATTACTATTATTATTATTGTTACGATCATTATTTATCCCTCGGGTTCTCACCAGGACATGCTTCTTCAGTAGCATGTCTCCATTCCACCCTCTTCTCTGTCATCTTTTGAACCTCGCTCCACCACCGCCCAGAAGCTTTCATTTCTTCCCACACCATCTCCTCCATGTAAGCCTCGCCTCGGACGACCAAGTCGCCGTTTCCTGTCCGGGTTCCACTCGAGCATCTGGCCTATCGCGTGATGTCCCACTCGGTCTTCTTAGTGTATACCCAATCCACCTCCACTTCCTCCTACATACTTGTTGAGCGATAAGTTCTCGGTTGGTTCGTTACTTGGCCAGAATGAGTTCCTTGTTGCTTATTCTTTTCGGCCATCTGAGCTTCAGTAACGACTGAGCGTAGGTGGCAGTTGTTGATGAACATCTGCAGTTTGTTGGAAATGCTTCTCGTGACTCGCCAAGCCCTTGAACCATGACATGGAAGCACTGGCTTGACGTCGGTGTTGAGAATCCGGATGCTGTTTATGCTTTGTGCTGAGTGTCGAAGATCGCCACACTGGTTTCAGGTTAATGAAGGCCTGTCTTACTGTCTTTTCGATCCTGGTCTTGACATCCTCGTCTGTGCCACCTGTAGTTGAAACGATGCTGCGTGGGTAGGTAGGTAGGTAAAAGATGCTACTTCCTTTAATTTTCTCTCGTTGATGGTGATTGGAGCTTGTTATTACTGGTTGTGTATCTTCGTCGCCTCCGTCTTCTCTACGTTTACTTGGAGTCCTGTCTACGCTGCCCTGCCTCTTCTGTCAATTTGTCGGTTTTGTCTGTAGATCTTCAAGTTTATGTAACATTAAATGCAGATCATCATCGGCGAAATCCAAATCTTCTAGACTCTTTTCATCAGTCTGGCGTGTCCACCTCTTCTCGCTCCACAGTCAGAAATATCATGGGTGATAGTAGGTGTCGGCTTTGTCTTACTCCTTCCTGCCCTCACTTCAGAGGCATCACTTAGCTTCCCTTTGTGAATTACTTGGCATGTGGCGTCTTCATATAGTTGTTGAATGGGGTTGATAAACATTGTGGCAGTCCTTAGAGTAGAAGTAACTGCCAAATTACTTCTCGGTCGACCCTGTCGAAGTCCTTTATAAAGTCGATGAAGTTGGGGTAGAAGGTTGACTGCTATTCTACACTCTATTCTATGATGGTGCGTAGCGTAGCTTTGCAATTTAATCTGCATATGATTTGTTTTTCCTGAATCCACACAGCCTGTTCTGGTTGCAAATTTGAATCTGGTGCATCCTTTAGTCCCTCCAGGATGATGTGGCTTAATATTTTGCTAGAGGCGGTCAGGGATTGAGGATGATTCCGCGCCAGTGCTTGAGGAGGCTTAGGTCTCCCTTCTTTAGGAGTTTAACGAGTTAGCCCTTCTTACAATCTGCAGGTACCTTTCCTTCCTCCCAAACTTTCTGCAGTAGCTGTGTGGGCATGTCCGCTGCTGATGCCTCGGCGTCTGTTTTCAGTGCTCCCGGCTGGATTCTACCTCGTCCCGCTGCTTTCCCACATTTCAGTAGCCTTACGGCGTTCAGGACTTCGACTTTCGTCGGGGGACTTATGTTCGCTCGTATTTCTGTGGCTGGTTGCTGATGGTATTTCTGGACGAAGTGCAGGTGGTGGTCGATTTAAGAGCTTTTTGAAGTAATCAGCCCATCGTTTCCTTCATCATCTTTCATTGGCTTCATCTGTGTTGATCTCTTCCCAGATAGTAACCTGGTTATTTGATACAATGTTTTCAGGTCTCTCCTACCATCAGCCTGTTCTGCTTCACTTGCCGATGTGTCGTGGAAGTGTTTTTTGTCTTTGCGTGCACTCCTCTCCACTTCTTTGTCCAGTTCTTTGCACGTTGTACTCAGTTCGTCTCTTCGCTGTTCATCCTTGCACTGTTTTCTTTTCTGCTTCACCATCCTCCTCTCCCTGCTCTATCAGCTTCCATGTGTTCGTCGAGATCTGTTCTTTGTCTTTTTTTTCTTCCTTCCTAATGCGGTTATGCAGGTTTCTTTCTACATAGCTTTTGAAGAGTTCCAGTGTTCTTCCAAGCATGTTTCTTCTGGAATGTTGCTCAATGTCTCCCATTTTGCCATGATGACTGACCGCGTGAAGATGTCCTTCGTAGTTTCGTCCCTCAGTTTAGTTTCTGTTCGGGGTGTTGAACTTGAATTGTGGCCTATCACCAACTTCCTTGAAGGCTTTCAACTTGATTTGAACAGTTTCTTGCACTAGATAGTAGTCTGAACCTAAATGAGGATTGTGCATTCCACAGACAATTTCTTTTTCAAAACCGTTAATTAAAAAAATGAAGGATGCCACTGAATAGGCATATATGTGGTTATTTCTGAGAAGAAAAGAGATGAGGTAAAACACGTCAGTATTCAAGTTGAATTTTAATATATATCCTGGTGCGAATTTGGCAGATGCAAAGGCTAATCTCTTATCATTCGGACTTGTTATGTAACCACGAATATGAGACCACGGAATAACACGATAGCGTAGTCGGATGGAATAGTATGTGTGGATGGTTGTGCCAAGATACCGATGCGTTCCAACCAACTGGCTAGAGAGTCGAATACGAGCAGTAAAACGCGACGCGACAGCGTGCCAAATGGCGAGGATGCTTTGCCAGGTACCTTCAGCTTAGAGAGTCCAGTTGAACCATCAAGGTCAGCATCAGTGTTGAATGTCGTCGAACCCTAGGCTATTGACTTTGGGGAAGTATATGACGCTACGAACGTAAACGAAGAAAGTTTTACATTAGCACAGGCATAGAATCAAAGGAAACTTACTTAGATACTTTCAGAGTATGGAATTTGAAGTTCGGAGCAGAACGCTACGATGACCTGGAACCATTCTTCGCGATCTATTTACTTTGGGTTATCGCAGGAAAAGGGGTGACCTCATTATGGCATACAAGGTCGCCCATCAGGCAGACCATGCAAACAAATCAATTTTGCCTGCAGATCAACAATCTTCACGAGGAAACCCCATTAAGATGGCACACCCGAGAGCCAACACCATACTCAGGTCAAAATTTTTCTCCCTAAGAGTATGTGCTTTATGGAATGCCTTACCGCGACACATCGTTATGGCTCCCTCAGTCGACTCATTCAAGAGACGATTAGACAGTTATGTCACCTCGCATGGACTACCACGGACGTACTCAGGTAGTCACCAACCTCACTGACCCCCAACTCCCTCCTAAGTACCACTCACCATCTCCCTCCTTAGTACACCCACATTACCTGCTAATTCTTCTGTAGGAACCAAACCCATGCGACCATTCACGCAATTCCCAAATACTTTTCTTTCGTTCTCATTTCTCTTCTTCACCCCTCCTTTTCCTCTCCTTCCCCTTTCTCTTCCCTTATTGTTATTTTTTCGTCTTTCTTCTCTTTTTCTTTCTTCTCTCTTCATTCTTTCACCACTACCTTACTATTCTCTTTCAGGTACCTACACAGACAGGAGTCACGGGAGTTCCCTAAACGTCCCAGCAACCCGTAGCTCCCTAATCACTCTACAAATTACAACTTACTAACCCACAAAACATCCACCCCACCGAAGCTTAAAGCAAGAAAGCAGAGGGGATTTCCTCGTCGAGTGCAGGAGTGAACGGCACAACTGGAACCAAGCTCTAAGAACTAGACGCGAGAGATCAAAAACTACCAGTTTTCTACGCTCGCACTATCAATATTGGATATTGGATCTCGAAGCAAGCTTGTGAAAGGTATTGGACATTGGATATTGTTCTTAGATAACCTTCAGAAAAGGAGGCTTTTTATTCGATGGTTGTAATGCACAGTTTAGATTGTGATTATGAGGAACCAGTGGAGAAGCGTTTTGAAGACCTTTGTCAAGATCTGTGTATAGATGGAAGCGTCCGAGAAGAAGCTTGGGAAAAGTACAAAGGTATTCTCTAGTTTATTTGCTTGCAAAGTACTAGATGTATGGGCTAATTATTCTATCGACGGCGATCAAATTCAGTGGCTTGTCTGTTCACTTTATGAGTGTTGTCGCCGTTCCTTATCAGATGGCATGTCAGGGCATGTAGACAATGCATATGTATCTCTGTCACGGTTGCTGTCCACAGCTAAAATGAGTGTGGTTCAGGTATGTTGCACTGCGTTGGCAATTTGTAGTTTTTCCATCGTATTAGAAAATGGGCTGATATGACTGACATGTTGGATGAGATGAGGGATCGCACTGAGCTACTGGAGCGCCAGTTTTCTGTTTCGTCGGTGATTTTCCGTAACTTCGGTCGTTCTTTTGGCGTATTGTTCTCAGACGTGGACTATGAAACCAGTCAAAGTAAGAAACTTCACTTGTGGTTTTCATGTCGGTTGATATTATGGAGTCCAAAGATGAGCTTTTAGCCAATAAAAGACCTTTCAGAGTACCATAGGTCTCGATTTCATCCAGTGTCATGAGTTTGTTACCTAGCTGAAGCTTTTTGCTGAAGTTTTCAATTTGTGAATACGTAGCCTCCTAAGACAACGGTATACCTGATATTTAAATGACTCAAAGTGAAGACGAAATTGCTTTTGAGCAGGCGTCCTGGCTTTTTTGTCGGTGGTTTTCCAATACGGCTTTTGATATACTAACTCCATTCTGCTTGCTTAACATTCTTCACTCGACCCGGAAACTTATATATGTAGCGATGGCTCTACTGTTCACGTAAAGACTGTTGTCCTTTCATATTATGTTGGAATGAACGACTTCCCGGTGAATTTATAATGGTGTTTGTGTAAAATGGGTGTGCTTCCCTCAGATGTTGCTGTCTTGCCTAATCTCATATGTAGTAATTTGTGAAAACCAGTGGTCTCAGTATCCTAATATAGACGGCTTTGATAAAATGCCTGCACAATCCTACTGACAGAACATTCTCGATAGTTCCTCATGTTTTTGTTGAACCTTTTGGTTTTAGGGAAGCTGCGTTAAAAGATAAGTATTTATGCTTTTGTCGTCCTTATTCCTAGATTTGTAAAACTTTGTATTCTAATGGGTTTCAGCAGAGTTAGTAAAGGTCTCATAACCCTGCCAATAGATATAGTTGTTGATATTCGCTCGAGTTCCTGCAAGATACTAAGCGTTCAGATTACTCCGTCGTTCTAAGAGTTTTAACCAGTAACGGCGGAATGCATATTCGTATCCATATACTCACCCAGGTAAAAACTTAGACCTTATTTATCAAGTATCTACCGTAAGGGAGAAAATCTTTAGGTGGGAGAGACGTAATCTTCACATTTTTTTAGTCAATAGTTATCCACCTTTTGTTTGTGAAACTGCAACTTTTCACTCAAGTAATGAATGAACCGTTTTCGTTTTGCTTTTAAATGTGCGAACGTTTGTTGCGGGTATCACATTGACCCATATAGTCAGTTTCCAGCTAGTGGTCCAGAAGTTCGAAGTCCAAATATCGAGTTTTAGGCAGCTAGATGGTATCATTATTTTTAACGTTACAAATATTGCTCACCTCTTCTTATACATATTTGCGTGATTACAAAGGTACACTTAATACTTAATACTTTATCCAACCAGCAAATTGTTGCACGAAATAGACCAGAGAGCATATAGTGCATTCACTGACTATCTTTGTGACTGTTGATTCGATATATTGCAAACTGTTTTCTTTGATATTCTAGATGTACCAAGAAAACTTCATTTTCGCTAACTAGTCTTTAATTTGATACTAAGTATGCTGCATATATACCTTGCATTATTGAGTTGATTAAGCAGGTTTTCATCTGTGAGTTTGGGGACTTAAGCATGTGAATGTGCTGTATATCTTTCCTTCACTGACAGTCGACTCATTCTTTTTATGTTTATCGGTTACTACCAATGTTTCGTTCAATTCTTGTTGATTTCCCTTCACGTAAATGTTCATGGGGCGTGACAATTTGGGTCAATTCTATTGTACTGGGGGGTAGTAGCTCATTCCTCTGGGCGTCAGGTTTTCGACCAGTAGTTTGCCGGTTCGAACCCGGCTCCTTCCAGCGACGTCTGGAAAGCTAAGTAATGTTGACCACCACAATAGGTGTTCCTCACTACCTACTGCACAGACATGCACGTGGTTGGGGAGTGCATTAGGATTTCTTTCGATGTTTACTTTGTTTCGCCTTAGCAAAGTATAAAATCCGTGCGCATGAAAATTTACTTAAATGCATAGTATCACTGAGGTTTTTACGATTTTTGTTTAGTTCAATAAATTGCATATCAGTTAACTGTTAATTATTGCGATTGTAGTGCGTCCAACTGGTTCCGACTTATTCCGATTTACATGGCTGCTATTCATCAAGTCTCGAGCAAGTTTTCCTGCAGTCACTGATGATCTAGTCAATTCCTATCACTTACTAACCTGCTGTTTAGACTGGGTTCTGGGAGCAGTTATGGTTTCTAGAAGACGTGATTTGATCAACATGGAGCAAAACGGCCTGCCTCGAGATTTTTTAAATTCACTCGCTCAAAACAAAACTTGGTGCCCACCTCATGATGAACCGAACTGTATGTTGCGTCCAATATGTGAGGATAATGATGTTAATTATGTTGAGTGTAAAACTGTAAAGGAACACTTTTTTCGACCGTTTATGTTGAGGCTGATCGAGAAGGTTAGTGACATTTTGTTCCAACATTTTCGTTGGAACTTGTTTACAAATGCTTCAACAGTTTTGATTATAATGTCAACATGTTTTGAAGTGGTTGTGTGTATCTAATACCGTATTTTTTTCATTATACATAATAAATTCTGCATGCTTCTACCTAGAATAGCTGGTAGTATCGTTAGCTCCCACACAATAAGTGATGTAGATAGTAGGACAGTCTTACATTAATAAAAGGTCATTGGTTGCCGTGTAGCCGTCGCTCTTATTGATGATTATTTGTAATTATTTGTAGGATTTCTGTTCGTATTGTTTCCGACCTCATTTATTTTATGTGCGAAGCAGTTTGACCCAACTAGACAGCACGATATAAGATACAATAAACTCCTCAACCTTCATCATCCATCAGTTTGGACTTTACAGATGATCACAGATAAAGTGCAATCAATGAGTCTATAATTTCGTTCTTCTGAGTGCTAATCGTTTGGTCGACAAACCATTTGATGAACATTTCGTCACAACCCCCATCTGATCAGTTTGTAATTACTTCATGACTGTAGTTCCTAACCCAGTGCATGAACCTGTACCGGGTTTATTACTAAGCTTAAGTATCCTTAGAAAAAGTCGATGGAGTATAGTATTTAATACCAAAAACATCCATTAAATATTGGATTATCTGCAGATATTGTCCTTTTATTTAGTGTTAGAGGTGCACAATGTGTCAAAATGTCTTTCAAATGGTGTTAGTGGGCTAATTGGGAGGAAACTACTATAGGGGTTTAAGTGGTTGCTACTTCTCAGTTGCACATAACATGAAAGTTGTTTCTAAAAGGTGCCTGAAGAAGAAAACAGATTACCAACAGTAGTATGCAACCAAAAAGGCCAACTACTTGGAGCCATGACTTTTAAAGAGTTTGAATTGGGATTTGATTGTGCTACTGCCAGAGAAGAAACACTCACATCTGCACCGAAAAAAATCAAAGCAGAGATGAATGTGTTATTTTTAAGGCCGGCTTTTTCTAAACTCTTGCCATAGGGAAGTTAGCGTCAGCATGGACTGCTGATCATCCGCGAGAAACACTTTATCGCTGCCGCAGCCCAGCCAGCAGTACTACTTTGCTCTCGGACCCCACACATAGCGTAAGCTATCTACGTTATGATGATAACTGCTTCTTTTCTCACCACTATCCAACAGAATTTGTGGCATGGTAGGAACTCGAGGAACAACTATTATATATATATATATATATATATATATATATATATATATATATATATATAATGCATCCATGGCTAGAGATTCCGGAGTTCTGACGAGCAGTGCTTGCTGTCCGGTTTGGCATAGAGTTCGGACGTTGGGAGCTCCTACATAAAATTGATAATGGGATCTTAAGTGACTAGGAATAAAGTCTTGATGGCTTTGATGGTTGACAGTGGTTGCAGAGTGAGAGGTTGTGTAAAGCCAAGGAGGAGACAAAGTTAAGGAGGATGTTATCTTTGTTTGGGTCTTGTGCACTACTGAAAGTGTGCGGACGGTTAACACTTCCCGTCTGCTCATACCATGAAAGGCTGTTTCATCTTAAGGTATCTGAAAGAGAAGATTTGTTTAAGGCATGTCACACAGTCTTTTGCGGGTTGTTACTTCGAGGTTTGGTCATTCGAACACTGGATAGACAAAAGAACCCACACCACCAGCACCGGAAGACCGTGGATGATGCCTAAGTGGGTTATTTTTGGGACCAATATTTTCTAATTGCCTCTTTCGTTGAGAAGGCAGCATCAGCGTTGCACTGCTGGTCATCTAAGAAAAACACCTTACTGCTGTCACACCCCATCCAGCCATCAGCAGTACCACCTCGCCCTCAGACCCCTATCATAGCGCAGGGATTTACACTATGGTGGTAACTGCTTTTTGTCCAAAGACTATCCAACAGACCTTTCTGGTATGGTAGGACCTCGAGGGAGCAAGCGTTCCACCAGCACAGCTCGTTGTGTCACTGTGATTCACAAACCCGACCACCACATCAAGTTAGCAGCTTTTGGTCGGACTGTGTGTAAATTGTTACTACTACATATTCTCTGGTAATTCAGTTTGCAGTATTGATGACTAAAGGACGGGTGTATTGCCGTTTTAGCGAACTTCGACTTACGTGTTCACATTCAAGGTATTTCCTTAATGCTCATTGTTTATTTTCGAATCCTAGGTGGATTTTAATCTGTACTATTTCTTGTATTCAAGTCATTGTATTTAACTGTTTTTTTTTTAATTAAGCAACTTGCAATCTGTGGTCTACTGCGATCCTACTTTGAACTGTGGCAACTTGAACGATGCACTTGTGTGCAAGATTCTACGTTGATTTTCTGTCTGTCAACATTCTAGAGCTAAACTTTTTAACGGATTGTGCTTTTTGGTGTTTTAACTAAGAGATAGGCGTATCACCTACATTTCTAGCCACATTGTAATTGCAGGTGTATTATTCAATATATCCACTAATATATGTGTAAAACTCGGGCATTATAGCAGGACGTAATTCCATATTAGATTTGTTTATTTATTATAGCACACGGTGATGCGCTTTTATCAAGTAAATAATAGTGTATCTCTGTACGCTATATGAAATAAACAAACCTAATATGGAATTACGATATATCCACTGTTAAAAATGATAAATACGTGAGCCTCTCAACCTATTCTAAAAGCATATTGTGCAAGTGTCTTCTGTCAAAGACAGGCGGAAACACTATAGGACTTGGCATTACTGCGTAACTGTCCTACTGATTGAGATTGAAAATATTATTCCTAGTTGTAGAATGTTAAAAAAAGTAGAAGGAAATAAAATGAAGGGGATGGCGATAAAGAATATTACGATTCAGGCGAATGTAAAAAGTGATTATATATATGCTCTTATGTAAAGAAATCTACCGTATTTTTGTTTGAAGGATTTAATCAAGCTTCATCCTTCCGTTCTTGGTAGTCTACTAGAATCCGAAAATTTTGAAGTGACAGTACAGAATCTAAACAATAACTATGAGGAATACATCATTGGAACTGGAGACTTTGATGAACGTATTTATCTTAGTCCAAATGCATCGGAAGAGATCGGATCCATTGGAGAAAGCAATGTACAATCTGATTTTCATTTGCCTATAGGGTTGACACCATCTGCACGTCGATATATGATTGTAAGTTCTGTCTATTCAATTTGTGTTTGATTGTCTCCTTTTATAGTTTAATGTCTTTTTAATAACTGGTAATGTAACTAGCGTTTAAACTTCTGGCCCCTACTTGTAATGCACACTACATCCCGAGTCGTCACTTTTTATTTCATTAAATATACATATTTACAGTAATATTTTTAGTTTCATACTACTGGTTTTTTATTAGGCAACTAATCTACCTTTGATATCCATCGGTCATTGTAGCAGCACGATGCATATATAGGATAGCAGATGTAGCTGCTTCATCAGGAAATACAATCAGTGCATATAATCAAACACTTCTTACGAAAAGGTAGTGACGCAAAAGTGAGATAAGACTCATTAACTTGAGCACGACTTCCATACAGTGGTTCCTGAGTTCAAACCTGCCTCAACTAATTAGACTTAAACAACCTTGTTAGTGTAAATCATAACCTAATACAGAAATATGTACCGAGGTTGAGTTATATCAGATTACCAAGGGGCTAAACTCATTAATGTAAGAGTAAAACCTAGGCAGTGTGGTGGAGTACAATTCCATATTAGATTGTTTATTTGGTATAGTACACAGTGATACAATATTATTTACTTCATGAGGTTTCGAACAGAATTTATTGCTCGTATTCATATCAAAGTAGTTATACAACTTTCAAACTTCGCTTATATAGTCCAACAGCTGTTTGTTCTTTTATTTTAATGTTAGTAAGATTTTACAGATACCTGCAATGTGTGATGAATCATTTCTGTTGCATTTATTAAGTGTTGAGTCCATGAACAAATACTCTGTCTTCAATCTCTCCCTAAAATCCCAACACTGTTGGATGATATAAAAGAAGTTTGAAAGTCGTATGAATATGAGCAACGAATTCTGCTTAAAAGGTCATCGAGTAAATAATATTGTATCATTGTGATCTATATCAAATAAGCAATCTGATAAGGGCTAAATTCATCTGACACTTTACATTGGATACATACATCATTTCAGCTAGGATGCCTCATTTTTTCGAAAGCAAACAGAAAGACGATCATACATTCCTTCCAGAAACACTAAAACTGGTTGGTCTGATTGTGATATTGAGAAAAATCTGTGTTACCGGTGGTTACTCTGATGGCAACATGCTTCATATTATTAAGATTTGAATTGGAATCCATCAATGATTTTAAAAAGGCGAAATGATTAGATACAATATCACTAACCGGATTTTTAGTTTAACGGTTGGTACTTTCACTTATGAGTAAAGTTAGATAATCTTTAATTTTAGGAAATTTCACTATTCTCATCTGGTCAGTCTAAATTCTTACAGCTTCATAATCTGTATTATCTTTAAGAAAATAAAACGCCTTAATAATCGATAAAAGTTGACGATTATTGGTAAAGCTTAGTGCTTTTAGCATAAGTTATTGGATGCTCTCTTTTGGTAGCATAACTTAGAAGTGACAGATATACTCACTCTGCAATTCTGTTAAGGGTTCTAGGCATTTTATTTGCCTTCACATGTATGTTTTCTCTCCGTCTCTTCGTGTAATTTGATATCCTTCTACTTTTGATCGATTCTCTCATTGTGCTGTAACAAAGCGTGACTTCAGTTGGTTGGAGGCAATTGACTGGAAGCCCTGGACCTAGGTTTCGTGCTTGTTAGCACTTGTCAGCCAGGTGTATCTGCAACCTTGGCAGAACTGATGTCCCCCAGTATCGTAGTCAGTGACTTTACCACTGAGCTATTCGGCCCGTGATTGACCTCCTGTAGGACTGAGCTACATTGCAAATATGATCGATAGGATTCGGTTCTCACTCATAACTAGACAATATGAAATTAGTTACTCTCTCGTGACCAATCAATGCAAAGTGGGACTTGTTTGACTGTAGAATATCGTACAATTATGGTCAAAGTTTTGTTTTGTGAATCCCTTTATCATTAAGAGATTGGTTAAATGTAATATATGTTGCAGTCGGTAAAATAGCGGTCTTATTCCCATTGATTATCCTTAGCTGACAATTTCCTATCCGATATATGTGACTGCTTATCATTAGTTGTGTTATTATAGAATGTACACTTGTAGTTGAATCGGTCAACCATTCCGTCTTTTGGTATCCACTCAGTTGGGCTTTGATGGTACTTACTGTTCGATCATATTGAGTTTATAGTATCAGTTCCCTGGAAAGGTATCGAGTTCGACCACTCAGTGTACTGTGTAGTTAACTAAACATCATTCGGTTATTATTTTCGCTCACATATAAATCGTAGATACAACAATAAGGGTTAGTTCGACGTAGTAAAGAGAAATGCTGACAGCATGCTTACGAAAAGTCTCAATTCAAATGATATTGCAGATATTTTACCGACATCATCAGAGAAATGCATCTTCAATTACTCTTCGGTAAACCTTCTCACCGATTCAACTTCAAATTTATCGCTTGGGTCTAAATATCCCTGTAAGTCGAAACCAAATAAACTTTATACTCGGGTCTATCTTGAGAATCTTATCTACCAGATGGACAAACTTACTCCTCCATGTTTAGAACATATTGGACATTTTAAATCCACATTACTTGACTGTTCTCACCAGTTCATAAAGGTAAGCGGAAAAAAGAGGAAAGGAAACGGTCGACAGGATCATATTCCGTCTATATTTGAGGAGTAAAATGTAGACAGCAATGATTAAAGAATGTTTTTTTTAAAATTCCAATGGATGTCCAGTCATTGAAATCATATTTGTTAAGAATGTGAGCTTCTTGTTAAATTATTTCTTGATCAATTGTTGTCTTTCTCCATTTATTGAATACAATCCGTCTTTTTATGAAAATCTCAATTCAACGTAACTCTAAGCTACTATTTGAATTCATGGTTGGTTTTCAAAACATTATTCATAACTGACTGACACTGGGCATGACTTCTAACCATAAATAGGTAATTTTTAACTCATTCTTACTTCCCTCTTGTTCTTTTGTTTATTCTTTAGGAAGTTAGTAATTCTGGTTTTGGTGGCTTCACTGAAACTACACGACGTGGAAATGCAAATGCTGGTGCTATCAGTCGTCTTAATGGAGGTGTTAATTTCAGCAGTCCCGAAGCTCGAAGTCAAAATCTTAACCAGTTACAGGTTAGTTTAATTGTTAGGCATTAAATTCCAAGCACTTTCGAACGGGTCTGCTCAATGGTCTTGGATGTTAATTCCAGTTGGCTTTTTCAAAGACAAGAGTTAATCTAAAAACCCCAATTAAAATTCGCGTAATTTATCTCCAGCAGTATGATTATTTTCAACGAAATCAATTTACCAATAATCTAGTTTACTCAGAGGAGCACTGCTACAAATGTTATAAGTACTAGTTTATCGTTTGTAGCTGTATCTCATTAGTTTCGGGAGTTGACTTTCAACTAATGAGTCACTGGCCCGAATCCCGCTCCACCTACCGAGATTTTGGCAGGCAGGTAGTAAACATCATTAGCCCTTATATACAATAAGTGTGGTCCATTGCCTAGTGTGCGAATGTGCACAAGGTTGCTGAGTGCATTTGATTTTTCAAATTTATTTTTATCTGCAATTACTGATCTAACTTGGGGAGGTGATAAATTCATTCACTATCCTGTCTTTTTATCGTGATCCTAGTTGTAACTGGATAAGACACCAAGTTGGTGTTCATTGTGCTGTTGTAATAGTCTAGTTCAGATGGAAATAACCGTGATACTATTTGAAATCAAGAGCGTGATAAATGTAAAATCACTCTTCTGTCCTCTATGAAAAATTGATAAGGATCGCTTTACTCCAATGTCATTACATTGAGCAGAAATCTAGTTTTCTTCATGACAATAACATTGTCTTGGATTGAAGTTGTTTAACTCCTACCTTAGTTTCAATATGGTGCCTTTAAAATAAAATAATAGTCTGTTTTTTACTATGTTCTTGACATAAACTTCGTTTTATTCAATTTCTTTCTACGCGTTTGTTTGTAGATTTTGTTAAATGGTCGAAACAAAGAGCCAAGTGATGCATTAGTTGATCTAATTGAAGCACACTGTTTCGTGTCGCCTCTTTCAACAATTCGTGAAAGATTGGAGGATTTTGGTGCACAGTTTCAGCGGGTGTATGCTGGGTTAAAATCTCCTGGTAATGGTGTGACACCGGGGAATACAGCAAGTAGTTTAGCAATTTCAGCCGCTCAACAACGTCTAGAACTATGTTACCCATTTTATTATATGGCTTTGGAAAATATTCTGGTGGATGAAATTCGCAGAATCGACAAAAGATTAGCTAGTGTCACTTTATTATCTAGTTCTTCTGACAATACTGGGAATTCAAAGCAAACATGTGTACGTCCAGATCTTGGGACATTGTTATCACAAGATGCTTTTCATCGAGCTTTGTTCACATGTTGTATGGAGATAGTTCTATTAAGCTGTGATCCTCCAAATCATCACTTTCCATGGATTTTGGAGGCGATGAATCTAGATTCATTGCATTTCTTCAAAGTGAGTATCAGCTTTCTTTTTATCCTAGAGTTACTTATAAACGTTGCTTTTCCCATATACTGAATCTGGTATTGTGTAAATATTTGTTTAACTAATTCCCACCATTTGATTAGATTTTTATTTGTTTTATTCTTGTGTAAAAGGACTAGTCTAAAAGTGGAATTTTTTGTTCTCCAATCCCACAGATAGTTGAAGTTTTGATTCGTAATTTGGACTTCCCACGAGATATTGTAAAATATATGAACCAGGTTGTTGAAAACATTCTAGATTCCTACGCATGGCGTTCAAGTTCTCCATTATGGTCTGTACTTAAGGCAACAGGACGCGCTCCGTCTATTGAAGAAGTTATACCACCGGAGAAACTTGATCAAGTAAGAAAGTTTTATTGCATATTGTGTGAGTAACAAATAAGTGTTTAAACTTGACACTATCTATGGTATTCAACATTGTGGTGAAAAGGAAGTAGTTTTAACTGTATCGTAGATAATTATCATACTATTGCATTTAACAACTGTCAGTTTTGTGTATTTCTTTTAGACGTGTGTAGCTCACAAACTGCTTGTGGACTTTTCTATTGAGCAATGAGTCATATCCAGTTTGTGAGGACTTATGATTTTGTATGGCTTTGTAAAACTCGTTAAATAGGGTTTGGGTTCAAACCCTCAAATCTATAGTGAAACGTTGAGTCCTCCAAACGTATTTACCCGACCGATAGCTGCTACCTTGACGTGGTGGTCGGGCTTGCATATCACAATGACCCAACGAGCTATGCTGGTGAAACGCTTGTTCCCTCAAGGTCCTACCATACCAGAAAGGTCTGTTGGATAGTGGTTAGATGAAAAGCAGTTACCGTTATAGTGTAAATTGCTACACTGTGATAGGGGTCTGAGGGCGAGGTGGTACTGCTGCTGGCTGGATGGGGTGTGACAGCAGTAAGGTGTTTTTCTTAGATGACCAGCAGTGCCATGCTGATATTGCCTTCTCAGTGGAAGGGGGGGGGTTAGAAAAGGTTGGCCCCAAAAATAACACACTTCATCATGCCCCACGGTCTGCCGGGCCGGCGGTGTTGGTTCATTTGTCGTTTCTTTTTGACCATCCGGCCCCAAAAATACAAAATTTCAAAATAATCATACTCAAAAGGCTTCTTGTGACAGGCCTCAAGCAGATGTCCGATGGGCTCTGCGGTCACACAAATCTCTTTCAGGTACCTTAAGAAGAAATAACCTTCCACGGTGCGGGCAGCCGGGGAAGTGTCAACCACCCTCACAACTCTGTCAGCACTCAAGTTTCTTCTGACTACTATCCATCTCCTCCAAACTTATTTAAGCAATAGTCACATATATTACTGATTACTTATAATCATTATCACCTTCTTGCAAGTAAACTGTTAATCATTTTTGTAAGCTTACCTTTATTTATCCCAAAATATCTAAAAAGTCTTAGTGACATTTACTTCAACTTTGAGACTTTCAAGTCCACCCCCAATAATCTCTAGTTTACCGCATTAACGAAAGACGACTCAACCACTGTTGACCTCACAAAATCAGCTGCATATCGTAAAACTAATACGTTTGTATTCCATTGGTCAGACGTACAGTTTCTGGCAAAGTGATAAGTTAGGTGGTTACGTCTTAAACTTTTATCGACTAATATCGCTAGGATATGTTACGCATGTCTAGTTATTGGCTATTCGAATACTCAGTGTTAGTCGATGTAAGGTTCAGGCTGGTCAAAATAATACACGGTATCAGTCCATGAATTCTTTGAAGATTGATCTGTGCCATATGCGGAGGTTTAGGCCGAGATTTATTATGAGTCTATGGAACAGAACATCTTTCCAACTGATTTCACCAGAGTTTTCCACCTCCACAATGATTATTTTGTATAATTAATGCGAAGTTATTTCTCAACTTCAGTTAGTTAACCTTGTCTGTTTGTCTTTCCTATATGATAGGGTTCTACCAATTGTTACACACGAAACACTGTTCAATCTACCAATCGAAAAGTGTTAGGTTCTAACGCAATTTCTACCAAAGATATAAAAAAATCACCAAATTCTTATAATAAACAACCTCGTCTCGCAGGAAATGTTACTTCTACAATACCAGTCAGTTGCCAACAAAATATTGAATTTTCATCAGGTCAAACTATCCGCCGACTACTTTCATCTGGCGTTGAAGATGAATCTGCTCAAGCAGCTGCTCAGTTATTAGCAAGTGGAGCTACTGATAGTGATTCAGGAAATATAGACTCAGGCCTGCTTGGAGCATCTACTGATGATGTTGGTATCAATCATGATAGTTCAAGCATGGATATAAAACCAACACCAGAACAACTGGTAGAAGATTACATTGTTAACGCTACGAGTACTACAACAACAACAGATACAATCAGCAGTACTGCATCTGTTCCATGGTCATCGACCTGTTCCACTAATATGTCTGGCTACTTTCATACTCGGCATGATTCAATCGCCATATTCTTTCGACAAGTATATCAGATAACTAGTCTACGTTTAAGAGATTTATGTGAACGCTTAAATCTTACTCGTGAACTAATGGCTAAAATTTGGACGTGTATAGAACAGGTGATTGTTCATGAAACTGAACTACTTAGAGATCGATGTTTAGATCAAATTGTAATATGCTGTATATATGGTATATGCAAGATTGTTCTCTATCGACCGTTAACATTCGTTGATATAGTTCAGGTAAGTGATTAAATTTCTTACATTATCTACTAAGTCATAACTTTCTGTTGTTATCTGTTGATAACTATCGATTTTACTGTTTTTTAAAGATTAGGAAAAAGCATAAGTGTCAAGGGGAAATTCTGAGATGGATGGAAAATAAAATTATATGTGCATAGTTTGTTTAATGACTATTTTAGGGAAGAAATGGAACAGACAGACAAAATCAACGTAGAATCTCTCACACAAATGCATCAGTTCAAGTCCCCACACTTAACAGTAGTATACAAAAGAAGAGATGGGTAGACAAAGTTGTGTGAGAGAATAAGCAAATTGAAGGTAACGTTTAGTGCGAAAATTCAAGCTTTCGAAGACGTGAAGAAGTGAATGCATCTGGGCCACTACAACCGATTTCCACCTATGTAACAAAGAGTCCTCAACCATTGATTCCTATCGTCTCTAAGACAGCTAAGTAGTCGACATCCTCCCCACACTTCTGAGACCAACAGTTAGGGACTTCATTGACTGCTGGATGTCTTGGTCTGGCGACCCTGAACCTTCTCCCAACCTTATCCAACTTACCCTTGCATGGCACATTGAGGTGGGTGGTGACTCGGCATGCACAGTACATGTCCAAGCCACCTCATTCGATGAACAACTATCGTAGCGTTCACTATGTAGTAATCGGTGAAGAAAATGAAATAATCTGTTACTTGTGTACAATAACATAATTGATGCATACTTGAGTTAGAGAGAGTAAAGTGTAACTAAATTAATAATGCTCCCAAACAGAGCATCAGTACAATTTAAATACTGCTTGTTCATCTTATTCTACTATTCTTCGTCAATTCATATCAAGGATTAGGCTCAAAATTCTAGCCTTTTTAGTGTCCTTACATTACTGATCTAATCGAAAGGTTCGTCATTCTAGGTTTTCTGAAACTGGTGGGTTCGTGAATGAAAAAAACTGCCATTGTTCAACTTGGAATACTTCATATTACAACAACGAATGCATGATTTGTTTAATAATGCATTCGCTAAGATAAAATTAATAATGCAAGGTTTATTTCTGAAGAGGTTAAGATTTACAATAGGTCTATTTATCAGTGTAGTTTTAAATGACTACCAGCAACCAAATACGGTACACATAAATGATATCTCACATTTTGTCAGTAATGAACATATCTAAACATCGCTGATTACAAAGAACACTGATCAGTGGAATCTCTTTCTGTCTATATGGGGTCACCGCCTACTTTGACAAGCGTTGTTAGCCTAAGTAGGATTAGGTTGGATGAAAGTTATGAGTAGTCAGGCCAAGATGTGGCACCGACTTATGAAGTTTCTTAATGTCGGTAATGAGCGGTGTAAGCGGATATGGTTCAAAGTCGGTCACAATGACGTGGGTGTATGCACCCTTTGTCATCTAATTGTCAAATATTTCGACTGATCTTCATCTACACTATCTCATGCACTTTTGTCTGCCATAACATGCTTTTTTACGATTCACTTTGTATGTTACTATGATGAGTGGCAACCTAAACTGACACTTTTTGTGTGCGGTTCTGTTCTGATTTGTCTGTCTTGGCTACGCGGATTCCATCTGTTTTGAGTAAAAAGCTTCATACCGTTCAACTGTCCGTAAAATAATATCCCAGCCAATGGCTACTACCTTGATGTGATAGTTGGGGTTGCATATCACAATGATCCCGATGAGCTACTTTGGCTGGAACGCTTGTTCCCTCGAGGTCCTACCATGCCCGGAAAGTCTGTTGGATAGTGATAAGACAAAAAGCGATTAACATTGTGGTGTAAATTGCTACAGTATATCGTAGTCCGAGGACAATGTTATACTGCTATGTCTCTGAGATGTGATAGCAGTAAGGTGTTTCTCTTGGATAACCAAGGACTCCGCGTTCACACAAATTCTTTTCTCTTTCAGCCATCCTAAGAAGAAATAATCCTCCATGGTGTGGGCGACCGGGAAGTAGCAACCGCTCACTCACTTCCAATAGTGCACAAGACCCAATCAAACATAACTTATCCTCCTCAACTTAGTCTCTTTCTTTGCCTTCACCAATATTAGGCCTCCTACAACTTCCTCAAACCCATATTCAGCATCCATTGCCAAAGATACATTAAAATATCGTTCATACTTTTCTGAGACACCATCATCGATTTCATATTGGAGCTTACAGCGTCTGAACCGTATGCCACATCGGACAGCAGGCATCAGTCTCCAGAATTCTAGAACCTCGAGCCATGGATGTACCCTGGGTCTCTGAGACACGTATGCACAACCTTGTGTGGTTATTCACTTGACCACGTCTGGCCGGCGTGGTGAATCTTCAAAATTCACCTTATGAATGTGCGGATACCCGATGAATAGCTATCGTGTACTCGCTGGTGTAGGCATAGCATTGAGCTGCAGAGCAGAAAGCGCACTTCACTAGACACCGGTCAACACTCGTCTATATGCTGGTCAACTGAGTAGATATGTACCATCTAAGAAGGATCGTGCGATCACCCGATATCTATTCCTAATCTCTGCCTACATATTCACTGACTGTAGTTTGGATGATGCAAAGGAGGAACTCTCAAAAACTGTCAGTTCCTCTGGATACGGCTAAACGTTCAGATATGGTCATAACAACTGGTCATTTTGAGACTCAAATAAGGAACCTGAGCCAGTCGGTAAGGCGTCTGGGTGGTATTTGCGGAATATCATCCCAACGAACTGATAACGGTGATTGTCTGTTACAATTTTGTTCCGACTTTTTGGCCAGCAATAAGTTCAAACATACGGAAAGACCTTCTCACATGGTGTCCTCCAAAATCAAACCAACGATTGGGACACAAATAGGTCATATTATACGGTACGCCGTTGTTAGAAGATTGCCCCTCTTCCTAGAGTACCTGTTTGGACTCAGGTCGCGCGTTGGTACGGGCACGTGTATGTCTGCATCTTACTGGTCGCAGAAAAGAGACGGCAGTCAAACCTGTGCGTGCTCGATTAGAAGGTGAGATCGTCAAGTATATATTTAGAGAGAAGTTAGCTAAGCATTTATCTAAATGTGACAGCAATGCTCATCCCGAGAAAACATGGCATGGTATTCAGTCTGCTGTAGAAATAGCGGTAAACGTATTTGATAACCGAGATTCAAAAGTTAGCAAACGTCTTCTTGTGACAACCCTAGGGAAAGCAGTTTGACTAATATTGTGTCCAAGATCCTAGGATCCATGGTTGTCCGAGGTCTTACTAGAACTCATGAACAGCGGACTCGAGAAAATCAGGTAGGTTTCAGACCTAGGCGAGGGTGTATCGAAATAATTTTTACTCTTCGACAGGTTCCGGAACGCAGGCATACTTACCAGTGACTACACTTTCCGTATTTCTTGATCAGAAGGTGGCAGTCGACTCTGTCGTCCATGAAGTGTTGTCCTTACCACCGATCCTGTTTAGTTTCGCCATATATGTGCTAATGGACATAACCTTAAGCTTCATAGGGATTGATCTATTCCTTGGAAGTCATCTGCTTGAACTGGAGTACGCAGAATATATTGTCTTAATAATTGAAGACGCTGACGAAATGCATGGTCTCGTGAACACATTGACTGAAAATTTGAGTATTTTGGCATGCATCTCGCGCCTGTAAAGTGTAAGGTTGTGTCTGAGGACTGGTCTACGACCACTCCGAGTTTAATGATAGGAAGTGAAGCGATAAAATTTGTCGACCACTTCATTTGGGAGTTGCAACAGCTTGAACGGGCTGGTTGCTGACAAAATCTCAGCTCGGATACAGAAGGCTCGTTTGAAATTTACCAACTTAGGTCATCCGTGCGCTAACTGGTGAGATATCGGACTACCTATTAAGGGGTAAGTACACTGTCCTACAGTTCGTCCTTTCCTGTTATACGTCTGTGAGACGTGGCTGTTGAAAGCAGACGTGAAGCGGTTGCAGAATTCTGACCATTGGTGGAATCACCCTGTCAGCAATGTAGATGTTAGGCAAAAAGTATAAGGTATGTCGATTGATGAGGTTGTAAACCTTCATCGACCCCCCACCTCGATGAGCCATGTTAAGAGAAGTCGAATTCGGTTGGAAGACGGTTCAGCGTGACCAGATCAAGATGTGGCATCAGTCGACGAAGTTCTAGATTATTAGTGTGAGCCGTGTCGGGAGATGTCGACTACCTAACTCGGGTTCTCAAGATAATAGAAATCAGTGGTTGAAGACTCTTGATGATATGGCTGAAAATCGATGGCAATGATGCAGATATATTCTCTTTTACCTCTTCTAAAGCTTGGATGTTTGCAGTGACCTTTATCTTTAATTCGCTTATTCTGTCATGTAAGTTTGCCTACTTTGATACTACTTTTTGTCTGTTCGCTTGTTCCTCTTATACTGCTGTGAAGTGTGGCAATTTAAACCGATGCACTTGTGTGCGAGGTTCTGTGTTGATTTTGGCTATGCGTCTGTAAAATAATATTTTGAAATAAAACGTATGTGAAGTAGATTGATTATGCCACACAATCGCTATCTCAGTAGCATGTCATGACTCATTCATTGTTGGGAGCTAATCCATAGAAGACAGTATAAGAGTTGCTTCCGGTTATGGAAACAGAAGTTCTTCAACATCCAGTGTCGATGGGGCGTACATACTGAAGTGATACATTTCCATCGGCCACCATTGACATATAGGCTTCTATGCTGAAGCTTCAATATTGCCAACAGTTTCATTTTGATACTAATGATTATGGCTAGCAGCGAAATCTAGGGAACGCGTTCCATCCTATTTCGGACTCTCCATCCAAATGTACCTACATTCCAGAGGGTGATTTTCCCCCTGAGACTGGAATCTAGCACCCATCTCTTCAAACACTAAAGCTCTACCCATTAGATTACTGTGACATGACAGCCACTTTTTGTGTGAAGGGAATGGTTTAGTGTTATATCTTAGAGTTTCCCGTCGTAGATTGTACTGAACTTATCTATAAGTGTTAGTCGGAATGGAAACATCACTCACCAGGAGACAGACACATCCGGTTAACGATTCCCCAAAAGAACGAAACGCGCATCCTGAATTTCACTGATAGCCATTCTCCGTCATTAGTTTTGAACTGATACACAGTTATGCCAGCTTATATTTCGTCCGTCGGTAAATTTGGTTCCTTTTAAAATATGAAGTCTTGGTTTACATCATTATGTGTGGCTGTTTCATTCAAATTGCGGCTAAATGTCAATTTGGTCGGAAAAAATAATTGTGACTTTTTCAATGCTCACCTTGCAGATGTATAGATTGCAGCCTCAATCTAACCGAGATGTCTATCGTCGGGTACTTATAAATCGAGTGTCCTACGGTCGTGGTAATACTGAAGAACGTGGAGATCTATCTCGATTCTACAACCTTATTTTCCTACAACAAATGAAAGACTTTATTAAGAAGGCGGCAGCTGTACGTTCCACCTATAACGAAACGGATCCTAACGTTCATACAGAACACACGTCTAGTGCCGAGTCATTCGCATCCAGTGGGAATTCTGTACTGAGTCAGTGGACACTTCATCCATCTTTATCACCGATGCCTATGCAGTTGAACACTTTGATATCAACGGATTCTGCTGCAGTAGTCAATCTAGGACTTGATGCAACAGCTGCTTCGGGAGATGCGATGCAGGCTAGGTGAGTATGTAGTGTATTTTGGATCGTACTCATCATTTACGCAAACAGACGCTGACATTTTCTTCGTGGCGTAATGAATAATATTGTTCAGAACCAATTTTCACGAAACAATTAGTTGGAATCAGTAAAAGATTATTAAACCTTGTTTATACGAACCTTAGAACACGGTTAAATCTTGTCAATAAGGTACATTAAATCACAGTGAAGTACTTCTACGACTGCAAACGTAGTTATGATTTTTATATGTGGTTGATTGTTTTCAGTTACATGGATTTGCTGTTCTTGCCAAATTACAGGCTTATCTCCTTATATATATGCACTTTCATCGGGCTCCCGTGGTTAGCCATAAAGCATGTCGCTATGCAATTTAAAGTCATCTTAGTTGCCGATTCCACTGAATGTAGACATTTATTGAGAAATATTAGGCTTCTTTACGGATCTCAAATTCATGTTGGACTTCAAAAGGATAATGTACTTGCTGCTGATGTCCGCAGTTTTCGACTGACAATAAATTTACGGCTTTGGTAGACTACAAACAGTTTAATTCAATCGAGCACTTGATTGCCAGCAAATACAATGACTTGCGGAGACCATCTCTGTGGTGTACTCAAGATTGTATAGTACGATCCTATTTGTTTGAATGTAAAAGTTTGTCAGTTTTTTTTGACGTAAACGAAGAGATGGTAACATCTGTATTCGTCGGTCGCATATCGCTCAGTTTATAGTCAAGCGCAGATATTCCAAAACTCTGAACAACTAATCCTAGGTTTTTCTTTAATCTATCCAACGCTATTGTCATAGTATTTTTCCGGAAATCTTCACATAGTCAGTAGATTTCAACCAATAGCTGAGGTTCCATTCCGACAAAACTATAGGGAAAACTGGTCCATTTTGACGAAATACACCTCCACAAGCCCTGCTTCCTTTAAATTACCACATATTGTTTACGACAGCAAAACAACTTTTCTTATGTTCTTAGCTTATATTCTTATATACATAGTTAATTTTATTTGATCATCGCATATCGTTGGTGTTTAGGCGGTTAGTTTTTTCATTCCTAAATTACACTACTCAAATTTCTTTGTGTTGCTCGCGACATGTGCAGTTTCTGATATAAAATCCTGTAGAAGTCAGGAAAAAATTCCACAACCAGTAATAAAGAAAGGTCGTCACATGTGGATAGTTCAGTGAAATTATCATCTGCGCAAATATACTCACCGTCAGTCTATTTACTGTTAAAGATGGAACTGTTTCAATATTTCCTGACACAACAATTTAATCGGTTTTTAATAATGTCTTCATCGCTAGTAGATTTCAGCCTTCTATTAGTACCTCTATGAAATCTACTTCCTTTTGTGTCTTAGACGTAATCGTATGGATCGTAAAAGTTAACATGTACCTAATTCCTAGTCACTCATTTTGTGCGTTTTATCTCACAAATGAGTGTTTATTATATAACATACAGTTATAAGTGGATTAAATACAACTTTCCATCATGCTGCTCTTAAAATATTTGTTTATTTATCTGTACTTTGAGAAAAATGGACGTCAATTAATCTGCAAACTTATTGCTTAATTTTAGACGTTTGGCTAGCAATCGCAACATATTTATCAGTCCAGTGAAACAACAAGTTAGTCTGTCGCCGAAAAAAGTTATTTTCACAGTGGGTCGAAGTACTGGTAAAGATTTACAAGATGTGAATCTGATGATAAGCTCTGCTGAGCGTCGTGCGTCGATGGCTAATATGACAATGGGTCTCAAACGTCCACTAGGCAGTACAACTACTACATTTGTCACCAACTCATCTGCATTTACAGTGGCTAGTGGTACAAGTTCAACACGTACAGTAACACTGGTTGGACCAAGTGGATTCGCTCTACGAAACGAATAAACTTTGATGTGTGGGCATTCATTGGGAACGACAACCTAACTGTTCTTTATCTATATGCATTTTTGAAACAATAACTCACCGATGATTTTTTTTTCTTACCTTTGTATTCCCTGTCAATAATTATATTATTCACCAAAAAGACTTTTTCTATGCAGCAGTTCCATCCTAATTATGAGATAGTGCTACAGCACTCATACATTGTAGAAGTAAGATATGCAGCTCTAGTAGTGTAGTAATGCTTTTCCTTCACGGGAGGGCGAAGGCGTCTATCTAAGCTTTCTTAAAAACAAAGATATTTCTTTGTATTTTTTATTACTATCATCAGATCTAGGGTTTGCTTTTTGTTATCTTCATTTTAAAATACACTTATTCATTGGAATAGAAAGGGGGAAAGAACAATATTGGTAGTAGTCGTAGGAATAATAATAATGATAATAAACTCTAGGATTGCATTGCATAAAAGGCAGGATTTGTAAAAAATGAACTCTGAATTTTTTCTTCGTGTTTATCGTTTAACGATCGAGAACATTTAGATGCCCAAAACGGTGGTGATGATGTGCTTAACATTGATGTAGATGATGTTAATGGCTGGTCAGAATGTCGATGTTTTCGGTTCTGTGTCGAATCAACAGTGCTTGTAGTGGCGCTTAGATCAGTTGGATGAGTATCAGATACAAGTAGGGGATCGCTGACCACCGTAGAGTCCCCGTCACTTACATGCTGAAAATAGATTTCAAGAAGATGGATCAGGGTGAAGGTAGATAATAAAAAAATAATACAGAGACTTTCTAGAACACGTTAAATACATGAATTTACTAATTAGTGACTATGAAAGACAATTTGATGAGAAAACTAGTTTTTCAAGTTCCTATCTTCATTTTCTCACCAGGTTACAGTGTAAATCAAATAACTTCTACTACCTGCAGTATCGGATGCACTTCAAGCAAATCTAATTTAGGGGCTTGTGGGGATTTAGTGATTTTTGCGAGTTGGTATTCATCATGGACTGATATCAACTGGATGGACATTGAAAACCTGGGAGCACTGGACAGCTATCTCGTCCTAGTATGGGACTCCTCAGCATGACCCCCACCACACCAGGGATGAAACCCAGGACCTTCAGGTTCCGTGACTAGCACGTCACCATTAGGTCGGAATCCAATGGTCCATGTTTCCAACTTTTGCCAGTCTCCGGTAGGGTCGTGAGTGCGCATTGCTGAGGAGTCCTATACTAGAACGAAACAGCCGCCTAGTTCTTCCAGGTTTCTAATATTCCTCCAACTGATGTCAGTTCATGATGAATACCAACTTGATAAATCACTAAATCTCCCCAAACCCCGAAATTGAGTTGATCTAGGGCTCATTGGAGACTAGCTTTGAAATGTGATTCCTGAAGTTCTAACGAGAAGTCGTGATCGGTGGGGCAAAACTGGAGGATGTTGGGAAAATACTCAACAGTGACATTGGGTGCTGGTCGCGCTATGTCGTGAACTGACAGAAGCTGGAAATATGCGCCACTGATAAACCATATTTTATGTAGACTGGCTATTTTTTCTAGGACGATTTCGACATATTAATCTCGAATAGATAGCACTGGTTCATTGGCAGCTGAAATGGGCGTAGAGTGGTAGTCAACATTATTCTTTTAATAAGACTCAGTGTATATTTTACTATCTTACATTCCCGTTTATTCATTGCGCTCTACAAAACTACAGTTTATACACTCAGATTATCTTCAGATACAAAAACCAGTCTGTAAGGTTTCAGGATGAGTAGGAAGAGTTAAAACTTCATGACAGCCTCAAAAATATAAGCAATACAGTTAACTTAAATCCATTTTCCATAAGCTTCTTCAAAACTCTGTTAATACTTTAAGTAACTAGTAAATTTGCAACTTGACAATTTAGTTTACGTTAGATCAGAAACTTTGCCAATAAATTGTGCATAAACTAACAATTTATTTAGCTGTAATCATGATGTATGTATGTATGTATAACGTTAATTGGAGGTGTTCAAACCTAATTTCTGCATATTATACAACTACTTTAATGATAATACCTAGCAATAACAAAGCAATATAATTTGCCAAAATTAACTTACCTCTGGATTAGGTAAATTTCTATTCATAGATATTGTAAGATTATTTAAATTTTGATTGGCTTTGATCATTTGAGCTGGATAAGATAAACTATTCTTTTGAAATTCTACATCTGATAATTGCCATAATCCTTGAAGTTTTGATGATGATGCTGGTGATAATAATGAATTATTACTGCCAAGACTAGACAATTTCATCCATTCTGAACTATTAAGATCGTTATTTAAATGAGATGTAAACACTATATTAGATGAATTATTAGTATCTGAAGAAATTTCTGATACTCTAGTTATACTTCGATAGATTTTATGCGAAGAATCTACACTTTCTTCACTATTCAAAATTTGTTTAAAACGGAAATTCACACCAGAGTTATTAGTGAGTAAAGCAGCTGTATCTCGATCACGTGATAATATCACTGAACGGGATAGTTGTTTTGATTTCCTGTAATTTACAACAACAAAAAAAATGTAAGGATAACTTGTAATATAAAACTATGAATATCTTGTAACTGCACTCCTGTGTCTAACGCCAACCGTTTAGTTTAAAAGAATTATACTGTTTTCTTATCCAATCATGTAATAAAAAAGCGAATATTTTATGTTAACAATTCAAACGGAACAAATGCAATTTCATCAGTTTAAAAACTCAGATTTCAAAAAGTCGGTCATAGATTACAGTCCCATTTTTGACCAGTTAAGTAATATCATAGGCCATATAAGCGTTCATGGACCTGGATTTAGTTTGGATTTCTATTATATATTATAGTGTCATAGACAGTGTAAGATATGTTGCTATAAATGCACAGCATTCGAGAAATCATGGAACAAAATACCATACAGTTTGCTCATATAATAAGTTATCTTCATATATAAACACAAGTGGTACACGACAATATCACACATTACTCCTAAAGGAATCTACAAAAATATGGTACGTAATCTTCATAAATGCAGTACTGTTTCCTACTCAAAATGGACAATCCAAATAAATGAATTGTTACCAGTTTCTAGTGTATATAAGAAATTGATTCTTAAATACTACGGAACCATTTCATCATTATTTTTTTCCTAGTCGAACATAGGGCTTCATTGCACTCTGTTCTCTCCAGTCTTTTCAACCTGTCGCCACAACTGCCCACAAGCTTTCATTTCTTCCTCACATGATCTCCATGTCACCTTCACCTCCGACACCCAACTCGCCGTTTCCTATCTCGGTTCCACTCAAGCATCTGGCCTAGCGTGTGATGTCCCCAATCGGCCTTCTGAGTGTATGCCCAATCCATCTCCACTTCTTTCTGCATATTTGTTGGGTGATAGGTTCTTGGTTGGTTCATTACTTGGCCAGAATGAGTTCCTTGTTGCTTATTCTTTCTGGCCATCTGATCTTCAGTATTGAGAGTAGTTTGTTGGGAAACCATTTCCTCATACAATCTAGTTAATCCTAAAATCTTTCAGTTTGCTGAATTGAGCTTTATAAATTGTATACTTATCATAAACATAATTATCTTATTATTCTTAACAGATCAGATAATCAGTTTCGATAGGCTGAATCGATAAGTGATAAATATGTCTCAGATGTAAATTCGAATAAGTGTAGAAAAACTGAATACTGCTGAAGTAAAGAAAACGGATACTAGATCAGAGGGATTATTGTATATATGATAAAGAAAAAACGGCCAGCATCAGTTTGTGAAGTCCCTGATTATTGGGCTAAGTCGTATAGACAAATGTTACAACACAGTCACTTTGTGCTGCACAGCCGTGCAGTAGGCGACGAGCCATATCTATTGTGTGAAGGCAAGTGATACTCTCTGGCTGCCCAAACCTCGGTAGATGAGGTGGGGTTCGAACCCATGACCCACTGGTTGAAAGTTAACTCTTTAAACCACTGAGTCACAGCTCCTAGGGGAACGTAGACTTTCACGTTCGTGTGCCAACCGAAATCAGTGGTTGGAGACTTGATGTCCTCTGACTTAATCTGCTGGTGTTAGTTATAGCAACTTGGACTGTCACACACTAATAACGCATGTTGACCGGCTAACAGGATGACGGGTAGGTAAATCTATACCACTGACTAGTTTAAAGTCATATCACCAAGTTATTTCGGCCACTGATTCTAAACATCTTGACAATCCCAGTTAGATAATCTATGAGAATTCATAACGCAGGTTTAAATCTCCGGAGGGATATCAGTTCCTTAGAGGTTGGAAATATGCCTTCCTGACAAGTGCCAAAAAGCACGAAACCCTAAGTCCAGGACTTCCTGCCGATTGCGTTCATCCAGCTGATAGACTTCATGATTGTACTCACCTATCAGAGAATAACCTATATCATTTTGACAACCTACGATAGTCACAATTTACCAGACTACTATTCATACTGGGTGATGGATGACTGAAGGTGAAATGAAAATTTAGACTAGAACCGAATTCGAACCAGCAACCACCGGGTTCCCAACTCGATGCTCAACCAACTGACCTTCAAGGTCCGACTGCTGACCAGATTTTTATTTCAATTCAATCACAAGCAGGGTTTTGCCCGACTACCATGTGAATTCATGACGCGTTATTACTGCTCAATCGTATTCACACTGGCTGCCTAGTCAGGACTTCTCATCGCAATCGAAATGTAACTGAATTAGAATGAGAGGGAGAGCATCATATTGATTATCATTTGGACTATCTGAATGAGATAACCGTGGTTTGGCAGACTGGGTGACAATCGAAAGTGAAATGAGAATTCAAACCATTCGGTTTCCGACCTGATGTTCTACCAACTCAGTCACTGGTTCGAATCCGGTGGCAGCCCGAATTTTCATTCCATCTTCAATTATCATCTAGTATAAGTAACCTACATCACAAAATACAACTCAGAAATTAGGTTCTTTTCTTACTTGTTATATTTTATGAAATACCACTTGTTCATTATTCATGTATACACAAAGGTATCTATATGAATTGTCAAACTGTTTATCACAGTAATGACAGTTAAGTTTGGTTGTATTTAAAGAAATGATGCATAAAAATCCGTAGATTGATAAATAAATTTATTTCCCGACTTGTATTCCAATTTCAACTATTTTGTATACAATAGTGTAGATGTCTTTTGAATCTTACAGGCCAAGATATCAAGACCCAGATGAAATAATGTAAGCATAAAGCTTAAAAGTCTGACATACAATTATTAAAGTTACTTCTGAAGTAACATTTTAAATCAATACAGATTTCAGGTAAATAATAATGTAGCCATCTTCAACTATGCTACTTCTCTACAGGACAAATCATTGGTTTTACAAGTATATTCAGAAAGTACAATTGAGACAGTGAACTCATTTCACGTGGGTTTCGTTCTATTTAAGACTCGTCAACTGGATATACCTGCCTCCTAGTGAGTCATTTCGTTCCCACTAAGACCCGATCACTTCAAACTTCAGAGCATTATTCATTAGGACACTTCTTGTGGAACAGGTATACTTTTTATGTTGTTTCCTGTATTATCACGTCGTTGATTGGACCGAATTGGTCAGTTTCTAATACAAGTAACAACATCGAAATAATAAATCATGAAAAATCTTATTGAAATAAAGTTGAAACGTAGTTGACTCACAAAAAACGCATATTGAATAAGATAATTTACACAGATAATCTAGTCAGTTTTAACATTAGAAAAAAGGAAATATTCAGCAATATCTTTTTCAGATGGTTAAAATGCATAAGGTGGACGGATTAACAACTTATCACTTTCGATTCATCCGCAACATTAGCATAACATCAGTTATTTGAAAGGAAAACTGAGTCAGAATAAGATTCGAAATAGTCAGCGACTGGGCTACCGATCCTGAATTCAGCTTTCGTTAGATTATCACATTTTTATGCACAATAGTCAATCTATCAATCAAAACGATCATCCGCCGGAATCACATTTAGTGTAATTGACTTCATAATATTTTGAGAAGTGAGTGCAGTATTGATTGAACAGTAATACTCATTTCGTAGAGTGGACCGTAGTTCATTGGTTCAGGGAGATAACTTTCAACCAGTGGGTCACGGGTTCGAACCCCACCTACTGAGGTCTAAGCAGCCAGGTAGTATCACTGACCCTCACAAAATAAGTGTCGCTCATCGCTTCTGCACTAATGGACACAAGGTGACTGAGTGCATTTTCTTCGTTTCGTACTCATTTTATAGTATATCACTAGCAGTTTTAAAATATTCGCTGTAGAAGAATAGGAATCTTACAATAAACTAATAAATCCTGACTAATGAAATAAGTTTAGATTAGGTAGTAAACATTTACAATACCCGTTTGTATCGAGTGATGTGTCAGGTAGAGCTATGGAAATCGCTAGACTGGTTTAAATGAAGACTGCGCTGACTTGTTGAGAAATTTCTAGTTAAAAAAGGATCAACTGATGCTGATAGAAATTCACGTTGGTAAGTTAGTCATATCTATGTTCGATTTCATTTCAAAGGCTAAAATTCCTGTCTGCATTACTCCTGCCTACTCCTTCACTTTTTCTCCAAGAAAGAAGAATGTAACTTGAAATAATGAGTTACATAAACACGTTCTGAACCATTTTCTCCCCTGAAATCAATGTCATCCCAAATTTTTATAATCTTGTAAATCTGAAACACAAAATACTACCATTTTTTGAATCCCATCTATATGCATACCTGAACCTCAGTAAGATTAAGCGTGACTCATTACCTACTGCACAAATATCTACAAGATGGTCAATTGCTTCCCTAGCTAATGTTGGTTTTTGATGAAAACTGCTTTGAGAAATCACTTAAAGTTTAGAAGACAGCTGAGCTACTTTATTTGCATAACATCAGAACTGAACATATAAAAGTTTTTCTAAACATCGTTTTATACAGTATTCTTTGAAAACGAGCAGGATATGTTTTGTGCCCCAAAATCAATCACAAAACAATTCAGATCCTATTCTTCAATAGGTGAAAATCATATCTTATATACAACAATAAAGACGACAGTAGAACTGTGACCCATTCATTATTCTAAGCAGTTGACTTCCATCTAATACTGGATGATGCGGTAGAACTCCGTTCAACCCAATGAGGCTTAAGCACTCAACCTTTGCACAAGACATGTACCTACTGCAAGAACCTTCACATAGTTGTTGAGTTGCAAACATTCATTCTTCAGTCGTCGAGGTTTTAATTTCAAAACAAAAACAGGTGATTGAACTGAAATTGAGAGCTGATCAGCATAGCTGTTTGTTTTGAAGCCTGTTGTGATTGAAGTCTTCTTTACCGCTTAAGTCAGTACAGAATCAAGGCATGAATGAATCAGAAACATTCTACATTGAAAGTTAATGATCAGTAGTCTGTATTTAAATAAACAAACAAGTCAGTAAGTCAATTTTGAGGTTTGTGTGGATTCATTTATTGGTTTCAGGTCGACTACATTTACTTAGGATTT